GGTATCTGGGGTCTGTTAGGGGGGTAGGGGGGTCTAGGTGTAGTAGGAGTTCGGATTATTATGGTTTGGGTAAGTATCCCATAAAGGTGCTTATAGGAACCTTTTGGATGGTTCACCTGGTGTCAGTACAGCTCGAAAATGTAAGGATCCGAAAGTCTGGAATAGGTTTTAACAGTGGCGGATTTACATCGGTTTAGGGCTTAGGTATATAGGCTGATGTTTCATGGGTTTTGTGAGTCGGCTATACCGTTATACCCGAAGCCCTCTACGCTATACCCTGAACCCCCATGCATACCCTAAACTCTAATCCCGAAAACGCTTCAGTCCACCAGGCGAGTGCTCACACGGCGGCCATGGCTGCTGCAGACTGGGCTGGATGCTGAGTGGTTACGCTCTTGACTCCCTTGGACCCTTAGATGGTCGTCTTTGGGTTGCTACTTATTTTTGGGTTCCGCTGGTTTGCAGGATACACTATTGGCATGTTTGCTGTTTTTTGCCCTCTGCCTTCTAGCAAGAGTCTGAGAGTCTCGGTTCTGCGATGTCCACTCTTTCGGCTTTCTTGTGAGGGTTCTCATCTTCTGAAGATTCTAACTTTCGTTGAGTAGTTCGTTGGTCTGTTGCAGAAGGATGCATAGCCACAATTGCACAGCTGTCATTCCTACTTAGTTCATGCTCATACTGCTACTACTGGTGCAGAGCCCCAGGCCCTGAACCAATCCATCACTTACCTGTGGTTAGTAGGGAATGGAAGAATGGTAGTCATAGTAGTTGTAATTGTACCTCATTCCTCCATTCCCTACTCACCAAAGGTAAGATCAGGGCTCAAAGGAACCACTGTTAGTCTTCATTTTACTAAAGCCGAAAGCAAGAGTAAGTTGTCTTGTCATGTTGGTTCTACGGGCGCTTAAGAACCAAAGCCAATAACTCTAAGCCCTACAACCCGAGTCTACAAGACTACTTTCCTGGGATGTATGCTGAAGTTTCTGTGTCTTTTGTGAAGATGTGCAAGCCTCTATGAGGCAGGCCCTGCTGCTACAGAAAAGGTCCGATGCACTTTAAAAAAAACCATATCTCCTCCTGTAAATGACTCCTCCAGGCTCGAATCAAGGGGCACCGGTGCTACACAGCTCTTGGGTCATGTAGGAACCTGATTAGTTTAAGAAACCCTGGCCCTATAACCCCAAAACAGTAGGACTGATATAAGGAACCCCAAAAAAAAGGCCCAAGGTTTCTCAAGCAGCTTCCTACATTGCCTCTTTCGTTTGCTTGGTTCTTCGCTGTAGGGTTTACTTAAGCACCCAAGAAGTAGACAAGCTAATGGCCCAGCACCTACAAAAGGCTATTGTTTGACATATCGCCGGGGCAAGTTGTCTGGAAAAATGCATGTGTTGCTTACCTTATAAGGGGACTAGACTGCGCATCAAGACTGACTTGCATTTGAATCCTAGTTTCCGTATAGCCTATAAAAGATGTCGCCCCAGAGACCCATTTTTGATGAGATCGTAGAAGGGTTTCATAGTAAAGAACCCTACCAATGCAGGTGTGTTGGAGCAAAGGCAAAAAAACCTCAGGTTTGTGTCGATTCGCAGGTTGTTTCTTTTGTGGTTGTTCATAGCAAACCCCTATTCAGTAAGTCCACATTTCGGAGTCAGGATTCCTGATGTTCCCATGCAGATCATTCGGGCGCATCACATCCAAAGCACATGATGTGGGAAACTGCAGACCTAAGCTTGACCCAAGCTTTGAGCCCTCAAAATGCTGTGGGGTTTAGGGTCCATTGGAACAAGCCCTGAACCCGCGGGCCCTGTGCCAGACTCTCTATAAACCCTAAGCCGAAAGAAAGTTTGGTCCTCAACCAAATCCCCTGCACTGAGCTTGCAGCTCTCGACCCCGACAAGAACGTGTTTGCTTAGTACGCAGACTCTATAATTTATTCAACCTTATACATCCCTCTAGAGCTTTAGGATAAATACAATCAGGCGCAAACAGAGTTGTACACAAAGTTGCAGAGGCAGCGGCGGAACGTCACTGTCAGGCCCTGGTAGATCAGCCGCTTTGCTTGAATTTGGACAATATCACTGAGTACTTTCGCGGCCTCCTGTTTCCCAAACCCCCGGGAGGATCTAGAAAGTAGATCCCCTAATTTGGGGCCCTATACTACTAAGGGTACTTTATAGGAACCCCCCATTAAGGGATCTACTTTTTGGATCCTCCCGGGGGTCTGGGTTACAGTAGGTTGTGTTGAGGCTTTGAGGCCTTTTGGGGCCATAGCGCCTTTCAGGCCTTGCAGGCGCTTGCCTAAGTGCCTTAATTAGGGTTACAAGTAGGTATAGCTATAGTTACCTTACTTATAACCCTACTTGCTAAGTCCCATGATCCGCTAAGTACTATGGATGATGATTTGCTAGGTCTTTGGGGTCAGCTTGCCTCTGAAGCTTCGCCATGCAAACTGGACATTGCTAACTTGCCTCCTATAGGTGCAGAGTTACGGTGTTCACCATTCTTCCGTTACTTCTGTTCAACAACTTACCCGTGCCGCCACGGCCCGTTGTGTTTTCAGCCTGCTTGTGTAATCTCCAAGGTGAGCAAGAGACCCCCCACTTCCCAGGCTTTGGGGTCCAGTGGCATTAGTTGAAACGGTTATAATCACCGATATACTTATGCAAGCGGCCACAGCCCCAGAATCTGCGATGTTTGTAAGAAAATTCTTAACCAGGCCATGCAGTGCCGTCAGGGTACATAGCTCAATTTGCTGTAGTCGACGGCACAGAGACGTCAGAATCTTTGGAGGTTCAGGGGTCAGAATCTTACTTAGCCTGTGGGAAAACTTTAGACTTGCTGCGGTTCTCTGCACGGTCGGCGTTGAAGAGTTTGAGCTCTGTTTGGGCTTGGTTTGTTGGAGAAGAGAGCTTGCTGTCTCGTAGCATGGGGACACACACACACACCCACCATGTACTGCAGTAGGAGCCGTAGCCCCTTGCGTCGGACTATCTACGTTACAAGGATCCCTGACGAAGGTAATACCTTTAGCTTACGAAACCCCAACACCTGCTAGGATCCCAGAGACTCCCAGGTATGTTGCTGTGTATCCGCCGTGGCATCCGATCACCGGCCGTGACCCTGAACGGGCTTGGGGGTCACTTGAAGGATCACGGGGGCAAGTTCAGGGGGTTAGGGTTTAGGGTACGTCTACTATTGTTAACTTACTAGCTGCGTTCTCTGACCCTCCAAGAAAGACTCCGGGTTTCGTGGGTTTGGGGTGTAAACTTTGCAGGTTTGTGATGTAGAGTCTGTGCGGAGTGTCAAGGGTCTACTTGGAGGGTCGGGGGACTCAGCAAGTAGTGATTTGTCAGAGTTACAAGCTCATTATTATAGGTTACTACGTTCCTACTTATTCCCGGGATGCCAATCAAAAAAAAAAACTGTTTTCAATCAAAAAAAAATCAATCAACAAAAAGACTTTTTTCCAATCAAAAAAAACTTTCCCTTATTAAAGGAAGCACGACAGGAAGGAAGGAAGGAAGGAAGGAGGGAAGGCAGGAAGAAAGGCAGCAAGGAAGGATGGCAGGAGGGAAGGCAGGAAGGAAGGAAGGAAGGAAGGCGGGGAGAAAGGGCGAGGAAGGAAGGAAGGAAGGAAGGAAGGCAGGAAGCAAGGAAGGAAGCAAGGCAGCAAGGAAGGAAGGCAGGCAGGCAGACAGGAATGAAGGCAGGAAGGAAGGAAGGAAGAAAGGAAGGAATGAAGGCAGGAAGCAAGGAAGGAAGCAAGGCAGCAAGGAAGGAAGGCAGGCAGGCAGGCAGACAGGAAGGAAGGCAGGAAGGAGGGGACCCTTTTTTTGATTTTTTTTTCTTTGCACTTTTATTTTTTTCTCTCCCCCTTGTGGGCCTCGGTTAAAGGCGTTCACTGCAGAGCTGGCACCTGGCCCTACGCTTCGCCATGATTTAACTATACTATTAGTACAACAACAACTACTACTACTACTACTACTACCACTACCACTACCACTGCCACTACCACTACTACTACTACTACTACTCCTCCTCCTCTCGGCTCGCTACACCACGCCCGGGGGTGGTTTTCGTTGTGTCTCCCTTCATTGGCCTATTGGTCTATCTCTCCCCCCTCCACTCCCCTTCTGACTTCAGGGTATAAAGGGTCTTAACATGCTATGGACATTGCTATGTGCCCTCCTCACGGCAGCAACAAGATCCCCAAGCATGCAAGCTGGTGGAAGTGGGAGACCTCGATGGAATTCCATCTCCGACAATTGTCGATGGAATACCTTTTTCTGGCCATGCGATCCCTGCCTTTCAGCTCCAGGTTCAGTCTGCAGCTTTTATACAGCAGCTCATGGTTACGAACCTCCGCCTTCTGCATCTGGCAAGAAACCTGGACGTGGTTATCTCCTGCTCAAAGGGTGGAGTTCCTGGGTCACACCTATCGAGTGGATGCTCTATTTGCTGCGAGGATGCTGCGTATGCTTCCAGACTGTGTCGTGCTGCAGATCTTGAAGCCCTGGATTGACCCCCCTCTGCTCCGGAGTCACGATTATGATCATGACCCTGGCAGATATGTTCAAAGGCGGTCTGCAAGCCCCCGACATAGATCTCTTAGTAATAAAGGCTCTCTGAGGATCGGCGCAGGATTGCTTCTCCGCTCCATGGTGCTGGGTGCTGGAGTGGCTCTGGCCACGGACCCAGCACATCTGCCATTCGATCGGTGCATTCCGCAAGCTTGTTCCTGCCTCGATACTTCCCCTTCAACTAGACAGGCCTCTCCAGCAAGCGGAAATCTGGCGCAAGTGATAGATAGCTTGGGCCAGCCGACCTGGCCCACTCACCCTTACCTCTGCATGACAAGACGGACCCTGGTGCTCAGGCAGCAAAATCAGACGTCGTGGTGCAACCCTCAAGAACTGATCTGTGTAAGCCAAACCGCAGAGCTTCCGTACTTCTGCGATGTGGGGTCCGGATGTCTTAGTAGCTGTAATCTTTGGGTCGAAATGCCTCTGGCTGACAGCAGTATTGGAGGTTCCCCTCCGCAGAGCCACTGCAAGCGGCTAGGAGGTTCTCCTCCGGCCCCTCACTTCAGCCCCTGCCGACATGAGGTTCTCATGCCTCCGATGTGTCGTCGTCGCTGCTTCTACCTGGAGCTGCTAAGCTTAGAAGGTCAAGCCTTGTGTCCCCGGCGGCAGCAACTTCTTCAGCAATGGTCAGGACATCTGCTTCCCCGGAGCGTCTTTGCCACCAGTGCCTGCATCCAGTCGAGACATGTGTGGATTCACTGTTGCCTGTGTACTGCAGCAGTCGGGACACCTGTACAAGCCACACACCAAGCTCATGCAGACTTTTCTGTTCAAAGGAAGGGTAGGAGGTGGCTGGGCCCACTCCCAGCCGCTCTTAGGCTCATGCCACGCGAAAAGACTCAGCGTGATTATGAGCGAGAGGCTCGCAGGCCAGACAAACGCACGCGGGCGGAGATGCGGGCCAGACGAGAAGCAGGTGAACATGTTTCTGCTGCTGCTACTTCGACGACAGCGGGCCCTCCTTTGACACTCTTTTCGGCACGGAGATACAGACGACCCAGGACACCTCCTGCCCCGCCACGACCGCCTGCTAGAACCAGAGGTGACAGCATTGCCGCTACCATCTCGGAGCGGCCAAGTCAACATGATGAGGAAGCTGAAGGCACGGCAGAGGAGGCGGAAGATGAACTGGTAGAAGTCACCATAGAGGTTGAGGAGGAACAGCCTTCCTCAATGCCATCTGTGCTGCAGCCTATGACACCACCGCATCCGCCGCCCAATACTACCTCTCCTACTTCCCCAGCAGAACCACTGGAGCCGATGACGACTACTGAGGCAGCTGATGAAGGTCTAGCCCTGCAGACGGAAGAAGAGCCTACAGGGGCCAGTACCCAGGCAGAGCCTATGGAGGAGCCGGATGGCTCTCGAGTGGAGCCGGTTGCAGAAGCAGAACACTTCGTTCCCATGGCCCCTAAACCCAAAGTGAAGGCCAGACCGCTCTCTCCGAGATTTGCCCCGCCTGTGGAGCCGGAATCTACTGCTGATACTGAGGTCACACACACTGAGGCCTCGCGGACTGATGCATCCTCTACCGCCCCCTCAAGACTGACTTCGCCGTCTGTACCGGCTTTGACGAAAATCCCGAAAGGTTCGATTGGCCGGCTCCTACAGGAAAGAGCAGCGGCCAACTTGCGATCTGCCAAGTCTTCGACCCCGACATTGCCTGCCCGACGCCGCGGCACAGCAGTGAAGAGCCAATGCAAGCCAAAGCCAGACCCTAGCCCCATCGCGGCTACTGGGCTCCCTCCGACCCTGGAGGTTGTGCTCCCAACGGCTTCAAGCACTATGCCGGGTGATGTCGAGTTTGTTCAGGTGGGCACTCTATCTCAGGAAGAGGGCGACAGGGCCAGCAGCTCGAGCCGACATCAGTGGTTCCTCACAACTCCAGGGAATCCTGAGCCCACTCCGGTTCTTGATATGCCCGATTGGCTTCACCGAGCTCTCCTGAAGCGGCCCACATCACCGGCTCCGCCACCTCCAAAAAGACGTGCCAAAAGCAGCACGACAGCAGCGGCTGATGATCAGACCCATGAGACCACTGATGCTCGCAAGCCAGAGTGTGACTACATGAGGGTTCCAGAGTGCATTTCACCGATTTTTGCCCCCTCTCACCACTCTCTGCCCCCGATGCCTCATGACACCTCTCTTTTTGTGCACAGGACACCACAAGGAAGGCGGCGGCGGGGATGCTCAGGCCCTCTTCTGTTCTGTTTCTGCACGGTCGGGGTTTTGCAAGACCACCTTCAGCTGTATCTAGGGTTCCTCCATGTGCAACTCCTGCTGCTACCGTCCTGAGCAGTCAGTGCCAGCATTTTCTTTTGCACGCCTTCAGGCTCCCTATTTGGAGCCTGCACTTCCTGAGGCGAGACCCTGGTGACATGTCGCCAAGTCCCCCTTCCACCACGGCAGGCACAACATGCCTTTGCTTCTCCGGTCCAACCTCTAGACGGCGTACCGCCTGGTATCATCCCTCCTCCCAGAAGGAGGTTCTCATGCCAAACACAGCTTGGATCCAAGGTCATCGTAGTCACAGCTGCCGTGCCACACCTCCGGCTCTCCTTAGGCATCTAGGTCCTCGCACTCATGGACAGTCGCAAGTACTTGCTATCAGGTGCCGAGAAGTGCTCGTGTGGCGGGGAGGCCCGGCTGCTCACTCATGCAGGGCACGGCATGAAACAGACAACATGGCAGTGAGGAATCCAGCTCGGAGAGTAGCAGTGCTGTTGCCTCCACATCGAAAGCCTAACTCGGTCGAGCCCCGCAATCAGCAACAGATAGGACTACTGCTGGAGGTTTGCCCTTCCCTCCGACCCTGGCCCCACTGGCTGCCTGTTTTCGTTCCAGTTCTCTTCCGGGGATTGTCTACCCCTTTACCCTCTATCTGTCCCTCTGCCCAGACTGCAACACCGGGACTACTAAGGTTCTGCCTGGACAAGTTCTGGAATTGCTATACGGTGCCTACGCCCAGGACTGCTGCGCTCTTGAAGGGACCGGCCAATGCAAACAGCCTGCACAGCCTCTCAACTCCGTTCCGTGGGTGTGCGAACTCTTGGTCCCAAACAGCCCTTCTGCTCTCCTTTGTGAGAGTAGCCATGAGTGCAGCCTCTGATGACTCTGATCTCTTTGGATCGGAAGCAGACTCGGACCTGGGATCACTACAGCAATAGCTGGAGGGCGAATTTTCAGACCCCTCCAATGCTCCTCCCTCTCGAGGTGAAACCACGCTGCAACCAGCTGCTCCCACTGAGCCTGATCAGATGGCAACCCGGGTGCCAGGCACGCCTATTGCGGCATTACTTCAACGAGTTCCGCGACCGAGGCCAGACTCAGAAGCCTCTATGGCTCCGCCACCACATGCTCCCGGGATGATCGGTGGCACCCCACTGGAAGCTTTCAGACCTCCAGACCACCCTCTACCACGGCAGCCATCGGCACGGTCGCGGGACAGCAGGCGCAACAGGGCGCCCACCATGGCACGGCCGAGTCAAGCACCGCACCTGAGGCTGACTGAACCTGGCCCCAGTTCTTCTGCCCCTCCGATGCAGTCCACTGCCAATACGGCCTCAGGGGTGGAGGCTGAACCACCTTTGGTTCCCTCCATGGAGATGCTCGAGGCCGCCTCAGATCTATCCAGAGTGGCCGAAGTACCCTCCGAACCCACTGGACTCCTCTGGGAGGATTGCTTGGATCTGGACTTGATGCCTCCGCCGGAGTGGAGCCTGCCAGCTCTTCGGCCGGCGACTCTGGACCCGCCTCCGCCGGGAATTCGACAGGGACGGCGGGCATGTGCCAAAATGCTAGTCCGATCGGGCCTTCGATGCTCGACCTGTTTTGCACTCACAGTGCCAGCAGTGCAAACCAGTGCTGACCGATGTTGCTGTCAAAAGAGGGCCTTACCCAGTGCCAGCAAACTCTCAGATCCTGTGCCCTTACCTCTTTGGCAACTGAGTCTGGTTGCACGTGCCACTGATGTGCCCTCACAGGACAGAATCGCGGCTGCCCTCCGGGACAGGCTGGACCTCAGCTTGTTGCTCACAATCTTTGGATTCAGAGTTGTGCAACACCCCGGGAGAGCAATGTACTTCTGGAGCCAACCATGTAGCTTCATGCTCCCCTCCTCCACCACGGAGGTTAGCCCTCCGAGACACACAAGGGGCAGCCGCCCGAGCACCTCAGTGACCCGTCTCCCACCATGCCCCTCCTGGCAGAGCTTCTCGAGCGCCAAATTGTCTCCTGCATGTCCCGATGCAGGATCACAACAATGCGGAACTCGATTTCATCGCCGACGGCTGGCCCCGGTCCGGGATCCAGGTCGGCGTATCAGGTGGACTAAAGCCTATCTGAGTGCTGCTGCTGTTCTGCAATGCCTGAGAACCCATCTTCTGCAGACTACCCCTAACTGGGCTAATCAGTCACAGCCGGCACAGCAGAGTCAGTCTCCACAAGCCTTCTATGGTAAAATGCACCCTATCCCAAACATGCCGACCACAGGTCGAACCCCCCGTCCGAGCACAGTTTTTCCAACGAGCCGTCCGGGTCCCAAGTCCCGGAGCAGGTGCCTGAAGTTGACTCTGTTCTTGCAAAGCATCATTGCGTCCTCCAGTGCCCCTGTAGATGCGAGGGTAGAGGGCATAGTCACGAAACCCTCGGGAGCTGGTCCCACCAGCTACAGGCAGCCTCCGATACTAACAGCGAAGCCTCGTGCATCAGACACTACTCGGAATGTGCGTGCCTCCATCCAAATCACTGATTATGAGCAGCTGACTCGGGTAGGCAAGAGATCCTACCACCGCGCCATTAGGCGGGCAGCACGAGACGGTACAACAATGTACAGAGGCAGGCTTCACACTGTGGCCTCCCTTGGAGCTACACATACCACCTCCACTTCACCACCACCGGATCCGTACAATCTACCGGCACCGCCCACCCGCTCTCATCGCAATCCCCACCCTCCGACCAGTCGCTGGAGGATAGTCTCATGGAACTCAGGAGGTTTGTCCTCCTCCCGATATCAAGAAGTAGAAACATGGCTTCACACCTGCGATCAGCGAGGCCACCGGATCCACGTCTGCATTATATTGGAGACACGTTGGGAGTTCCAATCTGAATGGGCCACCGCAGAATATTATGCACTGCACACAGGCCTGAACCGAAGACAGGCAGGGATATTGGTCCTAGTTCATAAGACACTGGTCAGCAGTCAAGATATTCGATCAGCCTCCATCATCCCAGGACGATTACTCCAGGTACGCCTTGATACTGAGCCCGCGATAACCCTATTCGCTGCTTACCAAACAGTCTGGAACGATGGTCCTGGAAAGGATGACACCTTGGCCCAACGAGAAATCTTGTGGACCAAACTAGACTCAGCGATCAGGGGGGTTCCGATCAGATCTCAGCTGCTGATAGCAGGGGACCTAAACACCCCCTGCGTATCCCAGGCCCCTCACGTGGGTCCTGGCGTGCAGGCTGACCCGTCCAAGGTCAAGCAAACCGATCAACATCGGCTTCAGCACCTGCTAGGCATGCATAACCTAGTTGCGTTGAACACGTGGGGCCGAAAGAAACATTGCTACACATACCGCTTTGACTCCACGGCCACTACGCACCTAACACAGATCGACTATATGTTCTTCCGGCTGTGTCATGCTGATGCTGCTGCAAAATCCGCTCGAACCATCACTGCGCCCTTTGTACCTCAAACTGGAATGCGCCATCTCCCCCTCTTTGCCTCTCTGCCTCAGCCGAAGTCCCCTCGCGCCAAGGCGCGACCACAGCAAGCCTGCCCAACGGCCAGCCAGGTCGCAACTGCCCTCAGTGCCGATGCCTCACTCGCGGATCGCTTTAGAGCCAGAGCTAGGGAGCTTTGCTGCCTCCAGCCCAATGCTGACCCAGCTCAGTCCCTGAACACTGCCCTCATTCGGGCATGGCAAGAAGTTGGCCCGAGTCGACCTCCTCCAGTTGCCGCACAGGAGCATGCGGCGGGAGGTTTGGTAAGAAAACTATGGGCCCTGAAAGCGAACCTCAGGCAACAAACCCCAACAGGCACAATCCTGGGCAGATGGCTGCTAGTCGCTAGAATCTCTCGTACACAGCGACTCCTAAAGAAAGCCTGCAGGGACAAGAAACGGGAGCGAGTTGAAACCCTCCTTGCCGAGGCTGAATCCTCACCCCATCCTTCCTCGATCTTTGGGGTCGTTCGTAGATTAGCGCCAAAGTCCCGAACAATGCGAATTCAACTGAGGGACCACACAGGGCGTCTCCTATCAGGATCTGAAGAAGCCGAGCATATTGCCCAGTTCTTGAGAAAGGTTTTTCACAGTGAACATAAGCTAGGACCTCCCCCCCTCGAGCCCATCACGGGAATGCATTTTACACAGGAGGAATTGTGTTCGGCCCTGGCTCGCATGGCCAGTGGCAAGGCCCTTCCGGCAACCTTTGCACCAGCACGTCTGTGGAAGCTACTTCCAGACCTTGTAGCCCCAGCACTCTTGCCCTGCATGAACTTGGAAGCCTCAGCATTGCAGGAGAACTGGCATAAGGTCCAGCTTTTTCTGATACCTAAAGTTGCAATCGTCCGGGAGCCAAAAAGCCTTAGACCCATAGCCTTGCTGCATCCTGCAAGCAAGCTACTAGCAGCCATGATCGCATCCAGAGGGCAGCCCAAAATTGCTGCATACTTAGCTCAAGTGCCTCAATGGGCCTACCTGCCGGGAAGATCCACAGCGGATGCTCTGGAATCAGTATGCTCACACCTGCATCAAGTCCGAAGCATGTTGCAGGCGAATGCTTGCAATCTGCCCCAGCGCTTCCGTGGCGCCGTGCCACACAAGATGATGGGAGGCATTTCCATTAGTCTGGATGTCAAGAAAGCTTTCGACAGTCTGTCTCATGAGTTCTTAGAGGCTGCCATGCGTGAAGCAGACTTTGACGAATGCGAAATCGCTCTTGTTCTCCATCTGCATACCCATGCTCAGCTGCAGGTGGGCACTGGCGCGGAGGCAGCCTCTGTCCCCTTAGGCACAGGGGTGAGACAGGGGTGTTCGCTATCACCCATCCTCTGGGCCCTGGCCACTGGCCGAGTCTACAGACTGTATACTGCAGCCCTGAAGGAACACTCGCTCCCAGAAGGCCTTACGAACATGTTTGCAGATGATTTCTTTAGCAGCTGGACATACAAAAGCCCGGAAACCTTTCGTCAAGCCCTTCGTGCCATAGGAATTTTAGTGAGCACACTGCAACAAGCTGGCCTGGAGCTGAGTCTCGACAAGACTGTGCTGCTAATGGCACGTCCGGCACGAGCGCCCCCTCCGTAGTCGGAGGTTACAAGAAACTGGTAGAAGGAGTGCCACACCTACGAGTCCCAGTTGGCAGTGCTCGAGTCCTCCTCAAGATTGTAAGCTCCCACAAATACCTAGGTGCTCACCTCTCGTATCATGGCTTCGAGGCCCAGAACTTGAAACATCGCATAGCCACAGCCTGGGGAAGCTTCTGGAGACTACACTCCATCCTGATTAGCCGATCACTCCCCCTAAACACCAAACTTCGTCTCTGGCAAGCCTGCGTCTTCAGTGTTCTGCGCTATTCCCTCCATCACGTAGGGGTCCCGAGTAATGGCCCCCAACTTATTCGCCAGGCTGTTCACAGGCAACTGCGAATGATTGCACGTTCCCCTGCCCACTTATGGCATGTCACTTCCGGTGACATCTTGGCCAGGCTCAAAGTGGAGGATCCGTGGATCACCCTCTGCAATCAGGCCTCAGCACGTCATGAGACCTTGCAGTCTCAGGTACAAGCAGCCGTCTTGCAAGTTTGGAAGTGCAAGCTTCAGAACATGTTCTCTAGTGTTCTCCTTTCGACAGATCCGGACATGCTGCACCCGACCCAACATCCTCCACAGGATCCCAGTGTGGTGGATCTTCAAGCTCCAGCTTTTGTGAGCTGTGCCAGTGAGAGACGGCCTCACGCTTTTCGGATGCTGGAGTGCCCTCACTGCATGCAACAGTTCACCTCATTAGGTGCGTTGAGGGTACATGAAGCTTCTAAGCATCCGCTCCCTGACCTGCCAACGGTAGAGGCCTCTACTACTGACAAGGAAGCCCTTGTTCCGCATCAAGCCTCCCCACACACTCCATTGCCCTCTCCAGACCCACAACCTCATCAGCTCAAGAAGGCATACACACGCAGAAGAGTACAGTCTCACCAGCATGATGACAGCATGCATGGCGACCTTCCCATTTGTCTGGAGAATGCAGACCCACAAACCAAGTTTGCATGGCTGCATGCACGTGATGGCCTCTGCATCTGCAGACACTGTGCGAGGGTCTGTGCCAGATGGGATGAGCTCAAAATACACATCTTCACTAGATCCTGCCCTGTGCTCTTTCCGTCAGCCCAGGAATGCACCCTAAGTAGCGCCCCTCCCAATCAGCTCAGCCCGTACTGGCAGCCCCGAATCCGACAACTCCCGGCCACTCATTGGGAGAAATTCTTTGCTGCTCTAAAAGCAGACCAACACAAGGGCTACCAGCACTGCCCAATCTGTGGTCAGTGGCTGATTCAAGCTAGAGGCATTACTTTACACGTGCAAGCCTGCCATCCTTGGGCTAGTACTGCTTTGTCGCTAGCTAGAGCTCACAGCAAATGCTATCGCAGAGGGCTGGCTCTCAGCTCACCCTGCAGATATTGCGGCCTCTCCTTCAAGGGTGACCAGGCCAAGCATGCATCAGAGTGTGCAATGATTATCTGGACCAAATTCCTTTATTCCCTCCTGCACCCCCATGCTCTGCAGGATCCCCGCCGCATTCATGGATCTCGAGGGTGTCAGCCAGGACGAACTTCAGGAGGCGGCAGCGGCCCTAACGATGCTTCAGACAATGGCTCTTCAAGGTCGCACCCTCTTCGATGCACAGCAGTCTCCGCCGACAGGACCTGCCCAGAACTTGGTGAGCTCCCACCATCCTCCGGCCCTGGAGGTTCCGACCCCGCCACGGCAGGCTCTCTCGTTCACGGAGACCTTGACAGGGGAGGACCAGCCTTCCAAGTTCACGAAAACCCAGGAGAAGGGTCAGGGAGGGAAGGGTCACCGACAGGGGCCCCAGAACCGCCGCCAGTTCCCATCGTCGTCGAGAACCCCACCAGCCGGCCCTCAGCCCTCCTCGGCTCCCAGCGGAGGTTCACCCTCCAAGATTATGGTTTCCACATCGTTGATCACTCAGGTCGTGCAGCTCTTGCTCCGCCACACGGATGCACTCAACAGCATCGAACAATCGACGACATGGATCTTGTTTCAAGGAACGGCCCCCCCGTTAACGGTGGTAGCTGCGCAGGCCACCATAGCGGAGGAGTGGAACAAGCTGAAAACCAGCAATCCTTCGGCCATCACACAGCCTCTTCGTGTGGTGCTATGGCAAACGTGGGCATCCGAGTTCATCAAGCGCCTTCAGCTTCTGGATACCGATCTGAATCAGAGGAACGAGGCCATTCGGCTTCAGATCCTCACGGAGCCGAATTGCTTCAAGTATGTGCGATGGGACTCCAGCCAAAAGCGCCTCATCCCTCAAGACAACCTTGCTCCGCTGACGGCAAAGGAGATCGTGGACATGTTGCAGGAAACCATCGTGCTATGCAAGGAAGATGGTGTTCTCATCAACTATCATCCGATGCGGCGGTTGACTGAGCAGATGGCCGGGGCAGCCATTACGTTCTCGATGCATCTGGGACTTCGAGAAGCCAGGGCTTATCGATTTTGGACAATAATCGAAGCCCAGGCTGGGAGCGCGTCGCTCCAGCTAGTGGCGACGACCATCCGGAAGGATCGGCGAGGACGATCCCCCTTAGCCCAGGCACTGGAGGCCGAACTTCGTCGACTGCAGTAGCCTTGCAGCAAGTTAGACAGTTGAAGCTCAGTAACCCCTCAAACGACTGTTACGCCAATGCTGTTCTTCTCTCCACAATGTGGCTGGCAGTGCACTGCAAAGGACCCGCTGAGCTCTCCCTTTTGCCTGCCGTCCAGGAGGATCTTCAGCAACTGCTTCTGCAAGCCACACCAGCCTCCAAACCTGTGCATGTGTGGTCACGGCCACTCTGGCGCAGGAAACTGCGGTACTGGCCACACACTGGCCGCCAGCAGGATGCGGCTGAGTTTCTCAGCCACTACAATGAGGCCTGCCGCTTCAGCTCACTTCAGGGTACTTGGGCCATCTTAGACCATAATGCCTTGGTAGATTGTGGTCATGTAAGCCCATTGTCCCTCAACTGTGACCTCGACACCCTTCCCCGCACCCAGGGTATCCGCTCCTTGCAAAGTGCAATCGAGGCTTGGCACCGGCTCCCTGGTAACCCTGCCCTTGCATCAGGTTCCGTGGGCGTCGCTCTGCAGCTGAACAGATTCCGCCTTGTAGCCGGGAATGTCTTTAAGACGAGGGTTCCGATCGCAATGTCACCAGCC